GGGGGTCATATGATTGTTGGGTTTTTCTCTGTATGTATTATTGTAGGGTCTACCTTACATATACAGTGTCTTGAGGCGACTGTTGTTCTGATTTGGCGCTGTATAAATATAATTCAACTCTTAATCAACTTGAGAGGAAAGAAGGTTGATGATGTTAGCGATGCTTATGTTAAGCCACACTCAGCAAACTTAAATTGTGTGTGTGTGTGTGTGTGTGTGTGTTCGTGTGTGTGTGTGTGTATGTGCACACTAGTATATATAGCACAAAGGGCTACACGTTTCTGTGGCATCTGTGTTAAGACTAGCAGAATAGCATGATTTTTTTTCTTGAATTTAATCGACTAGTAAAGCAGTCACAAGAAATATCCTTAGATTAAATAAGAATAAATATTGAGGCCGCTTTGCATAAGTAAGTAAGAGTGATTAAGTTATACTAAACAACCCTTTAAAATTTTAACGATCAAGCAGGTAGTCAGAGCACATTTTCAATTAAGAATAATTTAAAAAAAAAAAAAAACTTTGAGTGACTGCGACAACTTCAGAGGTCTCGCTTCCCGATACTTTCTGACAATTACTGCAGTTCTGCTGGGATGTGTAGTTTTTTTATTGTCATGCTATAATTTAAAGACATTCCAGTAATGTCCTATATACACTCTTATTATTTCCCAAGAATCAGGTCTCTCTCTCTTGTCCTGAGACACAACAGGTTCAAGGCATACCTGTGAAATTATGTCCGAACCCCTGGGATTCCACAGAGAAACCTCATTCACAGGCTTCAGCCCTACTTCTTAGGCAGGCTTTGAAAAGAGCAGCTGTGGAGTACAGGGCTTGCACTGTATCACCTTCTAAGGTAGACAGCCTTCAGATATCTCGAGAATAAGGATGGTAGTCACTAATACTATATGCATTCCTCTGAAAGTAGTTCACTTCATTGCTCCCCGGAAGATGAATTTTTTTTAAAAGGATACTGTTAGTCTGTTCATGCTTATCTGGAGCAAATGAAACATCTGAGTAAAACATCACTAGATCATCGTAACTGAGGTTAGATTTGGATAGAAAATTCATGTGATTAATAATTGTGTTTGTTTTTTTAGCAACAATCTACAGTTGAGTGCCACAAGATGTCTTAAAAAAAAGAAAAAAGAAAAAAAAGAAGCATGAACTGAGCCTCTAAATGGGTTTGTAAGCTTCCCCTGAATTCGTTATACTTCGTCAGGAAAACAGGAAACCGGTGAAGTGATTTATTGAACCATAGAAACATGCATGGAAATAGAGTCCATAAAGCAAAATAAAAGGTTTGTGTACAATTCTAACAAGCTTGAAAAGAAAAAAAAAATATATCAATCTTTGGTATGACAAAGTGAAGCTTTTGATCAAAATCATTGATCGGGGCATGAGCTGGGGACTGGCTGCTGTTAGTTAGGATTACTCCAATTTCTCTCCCTTCTCTGCTCTCTGTTTCACTGTATGTGCATCTCATCCCAAAGACAATATAAAGCACATAAGAGAAAAACAGAGCTTGTTGGCATAGCAAACCGGAAATGCCTCCAGACTGATCTTAGTTTTTCTTCATGCACTGTTACGTTTGGTTCCAGTAAGCCAGGGAATTGCTGCGGACGTGTGGTGCAGTACACGCAGAACAATGCAGAATTGAAAGGAATGGATCCACTATCCAGCCTAGCTATTCGAATTCAGTACTGAACCAATATCAGATACACACCAGAGTACGTCATCAATAATTTCCTGTTGCACTGTTTGCCCACTAAAAACTCCACATCAACTGTTTTTCTGTCTCTCAGACACGCTGAGCTTTTCTTACCTCACATGCTTTCCGTGGATGAGAGCGAGGAGGCAGAGGTTGATCATGTTCCACGAGGTGCTGTTTTCATATCGCATCAGATTCAGAGCCATTGCGACATGCGAGTGGCAGTTATCACAGCATAGGTTGTGCTTTGGAGAAGACAACATTATCAAGAATCATTCCCACTATTTCTTCACTTCACAGTTGAGGCAAAGTCATTCACACAAGACCACATATTTACCATCCTGTGTTTATACTCCTCTGAAGCGTCATGCACGGCTGTGTCCCAGGCATTGGAGCCGCTGGTGTAAACCTTGCTTACATCAAGCATCCAGTATCTGGATTTAAGGAGGAAAACAAACTTTA